ATTTAAAGTGAGCTTTTTGTAGATGACAAATAGTTGGGTCCTGTTTGTTGATTCACTCTGACAGTCTCTATCTTTTAATTGGTATATTTAGATCATTGTCATTTAAAGTGTGTATTTACATAGACCGGATTAATAACTAACATATTTGTTATTCTTTTCTTTTTGTTTTCCTTGTTCTTTGTTTCTATTTTTCCTTCTACTCTTTATTGGCCTTTTGTGATTTTAATTGAGCATTTTATATAATTCTGTTAACTGTCCTTTCTTAGCATATCAATTATACTTTCTTCTTTTTAAAAGTGTTTTTTTCTAGGGTTTGGAAAAACTCATTTACAGTGATCCAAGCCCACTTTCAAATAAAATGTACTATTTCATGAGTAATGCATGTACCTTGTAATAAAATTTTACTAATTCTTCTGTTCCTTGTATCACTGCTATCACTCTTTTCACTGAAAATAAGTGTATATATATGTGTATGCACATATGTGAATACATTTTGCTATCATTTTGAACTATTGTGTTAGATACTTTAAGAATATGAAAAATAAAAGTTTTTATTTTGCCTTCACTTAGTCATTTTCTAATCTCTTTCTTTCTTTATGTAGATCTGAGTTTCTGACCTATATACTTTTTCTTCTCTTTTAACATTTCTTGTAAGGAAGGTCTATTGGCAACAAATTCCCTCAACTTTTCTTTGTCTGACAAAATGTATATTCCTTTATTTTTTAAGGTAATTACCTCATGTGCAAAATTCTAATTTGGTGGATTTCTTTCTTTTCAGTACTTTAAGGATTTTGCCCCATTCTCTTCTTGCTTGCATAATTTCACAGGAGAATTTATATGAAATTCTTATCTTTGCTTCTTTATAGGTAAGGCACTCACCCCCCTGCTTCCTCCCCATCACCAGCTTTTTTCAAGATTTTTTCTTTAGCTTTGATTATATGTAGTTTAAATATGATATGTCATGGTGTAGTTTTTATTGGCATTTATCCTGCTTGATATTCTCTAAGCTTTTGGATCTATGGTTTGATGTCTGACATTAAATTTGGGGGAAAATTTTTAGGTATTATTCCTTCAGATAAGAATCTGTTCTGTTTTGTCTTGGTTTTCCTTTTGGTATTCCTGTTACACATATGTTACACTTCTGTGGTCGTGCCGTAGATCTTGGATATTCTCTTCTGTTTTTATTTTTCTATCTTTTTTCTCTGCTTTTCAGCTTTAGACATTTCTGTTGATATATCCTCAAGCTCAGAGATTCTTTGCTCAGCTGTGTTCGGTCTGTTGAGCCCATCAAAGACATTCTTCATTTTTGTACAATGTTTTGATCTCTAGCATTTCTTTTTTATTCTATCTCTTAGAATTTTCATTTCTCTGCTAACATTGTTCATCTCTCCTTGCGTGGTGTCTACTTTTAACATTCGAGCCTTTAATATTGTATATTAACCATAGTTGTTTTAAACTCACCATTGGATAGTCCCATCTCTGACATACCTTTGTCTGCTTTTGATGCTTGCTCTGTCACTTCAAACTGGTTTTTTTGTTTGCCTTTTAGTATGTCTTGTAATTTATGGTAGAAAGGAGAACGCTAATATGAATTCATCCAACAGCAGAGTGTCAAAATATGTGAAGCAAAATTGATAGAACTCAAGGAGAAATTGATGAACCTACTGTTGTAATTGGAGACTTTAACATCCCCTATTGGGGATGAGTAAAAGGAACTGAGTAAAAGGAACTGTGGTAAATAGGCCTTTAGTAGTGTAGTGGTAAGGTACGTTGGTTAGTGGTAGCATTTTATAGTTCTATGATTAGGTCTCAGTCCTGGGCTTTGTACTTCATAACTGTCTGTCTATCTATCTATCTATCATCTATCTATCTATCTATCTATCTATCTATCTATCTATCTATCTATCTATCTATCTATCTATCTATCCCTTAAGTGGTACAGGATGGCTAAAGGGGGTTGGAGTTGGATATTTCCTCTATCCCACATGGAGGACTAGAGCCAGCTGGATTTGGGTAGTTCCCTTTCCCCAGGTTGGTTAGGCTCTGAAAATCACAATAGGTGAGGCTGGAGTAAATTAGTCTCTTGAGGGCAGGCCTTGTTAAAAAGAACCGGATGCTCTGGCATATCTCAAAATGTTTTTTTTTTTTCCCTTCCACTACCTGAAGTGGGAGGAGATTTTTCTCCAGTCTTAGCTGTGAGAACCCAGTAGAGCTCCAGGAGATAAACTCACAAGAGTGTGTCTTCCTCTTCCATGGCTGGGGCCCCCTCCAGCAATTCATCAGTTACAGTTATATGTTCCTACTCTGGCACCGACTTTTATGGGGGCTTCTGCTCTGGTGAGTTACGCGTCTTTATACTTCTTTGTCTGTCTCCCCAGATTTGGGGGCAGCAGTCTGCTGTGTGACCTCACTTCTGTGAGGTATCTAAGGAAAGTTATTGATTTTCAATATTTTTTTCAGCTTTTTACATGTTGTTAGGACAGAGTGGTGACTTCTAAACTGGGCTGGCCTCTATCGTTTTAAGAAAATACTCTCAGCTGTCACATTTAAAGAAGTGCACACTGACAGTTTTTTTGAGGCCATGAATGGACCAGCTTTAAAAAAGTATTTAAAGGAGAGAAGCTATTGATTTTTTATGATAATTGTACTCCTCTCTAATATGGTTGTAAATAAAAAATAACATTTGTTATGGGTCATGAAACATAACCACCTCTACTTGAGAACATTTTTATTTTCTACCTACAGTTCTCTTTTTGCTCTTTAAAAATAAGATGCAGCTATAGCTCAGAAGTAAAGCCCTTTCAATGATCCAAATCTACATGTCCCGTTAATAGGGAAATCACCAGTAATTGTAGTTTTTAAGTATTATACCAGAATACTTAATCCCATTGGCACTTGAAAATCAGAGTGGTTGTTGATATTCCCCCAGGACACTCTCGTGGCCTTGGGAAATGGTTCTGTAGCTTTTAGACATAAAATTTTCTTTGAACAATGGTTTAGATATTTCTGTTTCTAATTTATCTATCTCCCTACTGAAAATTTTACATGAGAATAATGTATATTTTGAGGAGAAATAATGAATTTCTATTCTCTTTTCATTAGTATTCAGTCAGGGTCCATTGGATCCAATTTTAGTTTTTGAGTTACTTTTGTGTGCAGTTTTAACTATTTGTAAAGATTAATATTTCATCCTGACTTTTATTGTTTTTAGAGGTCATCAAAAGAACAAGGAGAAAACATTTTTGATACAACAGAACTAATTTTATCTTGTAATTATTATCAGGTTCTACTGGGCCCTTTTATAAATCTAAAATATATATGGAAAAATATATTGTGGGATTTCATTGGTCTTATTTTTTGTGTCTTGAAATCTTTCACTATTTTTATCATTACTCATCATTTATTTCCGACTATGTTACAAAGAATAAAATTGTGTATTTAAATAGAAAAATGATAGAATCACTTTAAAAGTAATTTATATCATCACTAATTCCTGGTATTCCAAATGTTAAGGTTTAAATATTTTTTATTCTTCTCTCTCTCTCACACACACACACACACACACACACACACACACAACACAAAAATGTCTTTGTTAGCCAAAATGGAAGAGAACATTGTTGATTATCTATTATCTATCAGACATTGTTTTAGGAGGTTTGTTTACATAGAGCATAGTATTTAAATTTTATAATATACCATTAAGGCAATAATTATTACTTCTGGTTTATAAATAAATAAACTGAAGTTTTAAGAATATAGAGTGTTTTTATATCTTACATAGTCTAGTATAGTATTTTATACTGTGTAAGTATTCTATGAATTTTGATTAATAAATTATATTAATTTAAGTAAAATGTTTATTTTACATCCATGTAAGGTTTTAAATAAAATACATATACATTTATTAATTGTAAAAAATATTGAGCACCTTTTACATGTGAAACATGATCCCTGCCTTAAAGGCACGTTCTAGTTTTGCAGAGTGTTTAGACATATATATAAGTATGCATAATTCAAAGAAAAAACTTCTTTGCCCGAAGATGACTGTGGACTTACTAAAGATGGGTCTTTCCTAGTTTTTTGTATTTTTCTTTATTGTTAAATGTAACCCTAAGCTTTATTGTTAATGTTCATAGCTCTTTCCATTTTTCATTATCATAATATTAAAGTTTAAAAAACATAAATATGAACAAATGTTTACATATAACCTACTGAGCTATGGCATTCCAGATGGAAAATTTTTAAAATCTACTATTTATGGCAATAATGTTTACTAGTACATACACAGAGATGCACACACAATTTTGCACATATCAAAAACAATATATTGAAATGATTTTCTGTGTTCTATTTGGTTACTAACTATTCTGGTTTCAGGAGCAGTAGAACCAGAAAAGGTACTAGTTGTTTTCATTCTGAGTCTTTCTTCTGAGGCACTGTTGGCAGCTCAGGGGTCCCAAATGGAAGCAACTAACATCTTGGAAAGACAGTTAGATGGGCTTGGCCCCACTGCATGACCTCCAGCAGGGAATTTAACTTGTCTTAGCCTGAATGTTGCAAGATTATCATGAGGATTGAGTGAAGTGATGTCTATATAAAGTGGTTATCTTATGTCTGTCATGCAATAAATGTGCAGGTAGAGGTACCTGGGATTTAATTCCAATTCCTTTATACTCCAGAGAATACACACTGACCAGAATATAGAAATACGTTATACCTGATGCTAAATGAAGGGCATCCAATCAACCAGTCAGAGTTAAGGGAAGAGGTTTATTAAATCAGTATACAAATCCCTGATGTTTTTATAATTACTTTTGAATTACTTTGCTGTACTCAAATCTGGTAAGCAGAGCTTATTGACATTTTGATCAAAAGAACCACTGAGAACACATACCACATTATGAGAAAATAGAAAATTCTGCTTGTGTAACTTTGCATTTATTTGAACAGGAGCACAGGCATGTTTTCTGAAGCAGCTGTACTTTACTATCTTACAGATAAATCCAAAGCTGTTGGCAAAGTTGCTGTGGTGGCCAAGAAAAGGGTAAGTTCATGGTTTATGATATAAAGTATTAGATTTCAGATTCCATTGATTAATACTTTATAAAATAATTAAATGAATATTTAAAAGCAAAATAACATAATCAATTTTTTCTTCTAAATTTTAGTGCACTATATGTTTTCTTTATTAGATTGACACTAGAAATTTAATACTTATTATCACATCAGTGTTACAGAATTATTGGATGTAAGGACAATAGAAAATTTTAAGTTAAGCAGTAGTTTTTATTTACATTATAGGTCACACGCATACTCTCATATACTAAAATATTTTATTTTTTCTATGCCATATTATTGTAATGTATGCAATTTCATGGAATATATGAATTAATATTCACAGCTAAATATAGACTTTACCTCAAAGTTATGTGAGAACGACATCAGCCATTTGAGTGAATTCAAACCTAGAGTTTTTTTAATGAAAATTCATAGAGTCACTAGCATTCTTAAAGAGTTTTTAAAATGCAACATGTCAATCTGTATATTGTATGCACAGAGATGTTTAACTCTACTTATTGTCAAAACTATGATTGGGATAGGATTAACTTTGACATTGTTTTTCAAGTGACAATAAATATTCTTAAGGGGATATCACTGAAAAAGAGAAAGTCAATGCTTAAATTCTTCCAGAAAAATAGTATATTGTTGTCATGAGAAAAAGAATTGTGGTGGAAAGGAAAGCCTACACCCTTGCCATTTCCTGTATTGAGTAACGGGCTGCTGCAGAGTGGAGACAGGGAAGGTAGAACGGAACCCAGGGAGCAGAGAGGGGAGCTGGGCCAGAACCTGTAGATAAACAGGCAATGAAGTGAATACTGTTTTTATATTCTGAATATATATATTTTATGAGTCCTTTTAAAGTGAAATTTTGTTTTATCCTTTTGCTTTTTAGCTTATATTTAAAAGGGAACTGGACTTTTCATTTGTTAAGTAATGTTGAAGTACTTCTGCAGGAATATAATACCATAGAAGGCAAACTGCCCTCTGGGAAAGGAAAGAAACAGGACCGTGTGTCTGTCTGCAGATTCGAGCAGGAGCGAGTGAGGGTTATTAATGTGGATGGAACTGTTTGTTTCCGTCTCTGCTAAAGGATGTTCAGAATCAAACATGACAAAGATAATAATAGCTGACATGATTACGTATTGCTTGATTTTTACCCATGATTCTCAGTGAAGGTGGCGCTGTGCCTGGGACAGTGCTCATCAGAGTGGGTTCCATGAGCCAGAGCTGTCTGGGCACTATTTATTTCTGGTCTGCAAACACATAAGAGCCAAAAAATGAGAATAACCATTTAGGAATTTGTATAGTAATTTGACAGAGTAATTTTTGTCTGTTGAATATAATAATAAAATGGAACGTGCATTTTGTATGTCTTCCTTTTTTAATATTTTTCCTAGCGACTTTGAAAAAAATTATAATGTATAGATCTCAAATAGATTGGCATGGAAAACTGGTCTATTACCAGTTTTGCAGAGTGGCTGTTTTAGGAATTTGTGGAAATATATTTATAGAGAGATAGTAATTTGGAGGAATACAAAGCATTTTTTAGGACAGAGGTGAAGGGCACGAGATATCGTGTAATGAACAGAACAAACTGTTTAACAAGAACTGCCCAACTGTTGGCATGACTTTTGAATACACTGCTGGACTCAACAAACTACAAATTTAACTGTGTAGTAACATAATACCAAATAATAAAGAAACAGGTTAGACAAAAAAACAAGGAATTTAGAAGGCTTATTGTGGAGAGGGAAGCTGAAATGGAATAAACACACTGTTCTAAAAAATTATTGAGTAATCTACTTATTCTCAACATATCGTAACATTTTACACTATGTATTAAGCTGTATAGGGTGTCAGTGAAGTTACTCAGAGTGCTTGCTGCCTGTGAGCCTCTGCCACTCCTAGTTCCCTTCCCTCAGCTCTCCGTCCGTGTGGTGGCTACCTCTGAAATACACGTGAGCGTGGTGGGTGCTCCCACCTGGCCGTACAGCTCATCAGTGGCAGCAGCCTGAAGGGAGGAGACTAAGTCACACTAGTCTCTTTGCAGCCTGCTTGATTATTTGTTATTTTTCAAGATGTACTTTTAGGATGTGAAAAGACTTGTGCAGACCAGAGTAAGTATCGAGGCAATTAGCCTGGAAATAAAAAATATATATTAAAAAAAATTAAAAAGTAGTATGCCAGGAGGCTAGAAGAGTAGCTGATGGTGTTGGCTACTATAGACTCTGAAAAGTTTCTGTGTGTGTGTACACACACACACGCACACACACACACGTGAAACAGGAAATAGAAAATTATGGTAGAAAGAATACAAATTATGAATGAGCCACATCTGCCTTCAGAAGCTAGTTCTCCTGCTTAGTTGTTGTGTGATGTTAGGTAAGTTAATACTTTTGTATCTCATTGAATTAATCTCTGCACTGGGAACAATAATAATTACCTTGTATGATTGCTATAAAGGTTAATATGAAAAGCAATTATAATAGCATATAGTTATTATATTTCAATAGTTGCTTGTATAATAAATGCCAGTACTTTCCCCCTTAATTTCTCTTTAAAAAGAAATAGGAAGTAAGGATATAGGGACATTTTAAGTCATCAGTTTTGTGATAGCATCATACTTCTATTCGACAGTTAAAGTTGTAGATATAAAAGTCTTTTTAAAAGGAGGCCCTACAGTTTAGTCATGATTTATTTTTTCAAAGTCATATAATAATGCTGTATTTGGAGGATAGAATTTTAAAAATCATTTAAGATTTATATCATTAAGCTAATTTTTATTAATTTATTACACATTTAGAGTTACTTATACATATGTTTAAATATAACATGTATATGTAGTTTATTAATATAAATGGAATGAATTCAAACTCTACTGTTTCACCTAATAATATTTTGTTGACATCTTCTGAAGTCAAAGGTCTGCCAAATCTTAAGTAGTTGCACAGCATTTTATTTTATGGGAATGTCTTAATTTATTGAACAGTTTCCTCCAGGGGTGTCCAACCTTTTGGTGTCTCCGAGCCACCCTGGAAGAGAGCTGTCTTGGGCCACACATTAAATACACAAGCACTAATGAAAACTGCTGAGCAAACAGAAGGTTTTAAACAAATTTAGGATTTTATGTTGGGCCACATTCATAGCCGTCCTGGGCCACACATGGCCGGCAGCACAGGCCGAGGGTTGGACACCCCCTACACATTTAGGTTGATCCAGTTTGCAGAATTATGGATAAAAAAGCAGCGACATCATCGTACACAAATCTGTGTTTGTGTAAATATTCGATAGGAAAAATTGCTGGAAGTAGGCTTTCTGGTTCAAAGAATAAGCACATTTAAAATTTTGCCAGTTTGCTGAACATCCCTTACCAAAAACATCTCGCAACCAATTACAGTCCCGTGATTAGTTTAAGGGAATGACTAGACTGGCTTCCCTTGCCAATTCTAGCCATTTTATAGTCAGGTTTTTTTCCTTTAAAAGTTAATACTTTAACAATGTGTTGCAAGGATTTTTCAGTTTTTCTTTTAAATTGTATGTAGTTCTTTTGCTGTACTTGCATAATAAAACTTTTGGGGCATTAGAGCTTTAGTGACGTGCTTTACAAGACTGCTTTTTCATGAAAACAAACCAGGTTATAAGTCACTTAACCTTTCTCCTATTGCTGCCAGTAACATTTCCATGTGAGAAACTAAAGCAAAATGAATAAAGAGACGAGTTAGGTGATAGAGCCAGGATTCTCTCTATTCATCTGCTTCAGTTTTTCTCAGGGTAGAAGATTACATATATCTAATTAAAGCTATCCCAAGAATTTGTTGATGGTGGGAAAAGAATCTCTTTTTCATTCTGTTTTTTAATTTGTTTGGCTTATATATAAAAATCTTGCATATATGTATGGGCACCTTTTTTCCTAACATTTTACTTTTATTAATGTCAAAAGTTTAATTTACATACTTTGAAAGACAAAAATTAATGACTGCTCTTTTGATTTAAACATTTGTGTATGAGGAATTGAGACTACTTTTTCCCACTGAAAAATATTTTTCCCTGAAATTATTGCAAAGATTCTTCATATTAGTAGGGCATTTTTATTAGCCCAATAGCAGGATAAGTTGCTTACATTTTATGACTAAATGTCTGGATATTTGTGTTAATTAAAAAGCTTGCTTACTAATATGGATTTCATGTATTGCAATTAACTTGATTCACTTAGCTTTATATCTATCTTTCCCCAAAGATAAATATTATAATAGATCCCTACTTCTGGCTTCTAGCCCCAGGCAGAGAACAATCTCAGAAAGAGTGGTAGGCAGAGAAAACCCTTGGCAAGAGTCTGTCAGGCTGCGAAATGCATTCAGTTTCCGTTTGGCTTCTACTTTGTGGGCCTCATTCACTTTTCCTTGGGCCAGGGCTCCCCAGACTTGAACCATTCAGGTTTCCATCACCATTTTCCATGCTGTTAGTTACTATATTGGTCTTCCATCTGACTTACCATTTTCTTAATTTAGCTTTTTTTTTTTTTTTTACTGTGGTCAAATTTAAGCATGTAAAATGCACAGATCTTAAGCATAGAGCTTGATAAGTTTTTAAAAAAATATATGCACTCATGTAACTTCCTCTCTGATCAAAATACCAACTATTTTTATCATCCCCTAAAGTTTCCTAATCCAAATTTTAAAATGTAAAGGTGCTCTTTTGATGTGCATTGGCACTTTTTCAAATACATAAAAATAAATATATATTAATATAGAACATTGTCAATCGCTTTAAATCAGTCTGTGGAAACCTTAAAATAAAACATTTTTTCATACTAATTTCAGTTACCCTATGCTCAAAATCAGCAGAGGGCAACCATACCACTACAAGGCACTGTTATGAAATAGTCTTACAGGAGAGTAATTTTTAACAAAATACTCTTTAGTTACTTAATAACTAACCACCCTTGATTACCTGTTTTATCTTAAATTACAATCTGTAGGAATT